GTGAAGTGTGTCACACGCTCGTAGGCAGGGGTGAACTGGTGAACACCCGCGTCCTGGAGCGCGGAACCCGCCACCAAGTTCGTAGAGAACGAAGGGAGGTAAAGGCCCGATAGTGTGCCGGACGGGACAGCAGGACAAGGGAGGGCAGTGGTGGAGGTCGCAAGGACCGGACCCCCGGAGGGGTCAGCTAGGGAGACAACAACCGGTCTAGGGAGCTACTCTAGGGCAGTGCGGTCGCGAAAGAAACAGCGGGAAGCACCTGAGTCCAGTGTGAAGGTGTGCAGTGCCTCTGTAGACGCAGTACCTGAAGGCGCAGACTCAGAAGCACCTGAAGCAGCACACTCACGAGCGCCTAGAGCAGCAGCCGCACCAGCACCTGGAGCAGGAGACGCACGAGCACCTAGAGCAGTAGCCTCCTTGGCACCTGGAGCAGCAGACTGGAAAGCGGGGTCAAGCGGCACACACAGGTGACAGGCTCCCTCGGCACTAGTAGACAATGCATACATTGTAGTGAGAATAGCATCATAGTCAAGAGCAAAGATATCTACCCTCTGCCTAAGCAGCTCCACCCAGTCAAGGAGCTCAGCGTCGTCGCCAAACTCTGTACGCCAAGCGTCGCTCAGATGGGCGAAGCAGCGAGACTCTGTGTGACCAAGCGTCCCGGAAGGCTGACGAGTCCGGACATCCGTGCTAATAACGTACGGGCAGCGAGCAGTACTCAGCGACCCTCTACTCTGAGCGTACCACTCACGAAGCTGCTGGGGCGAACGAGTCTCGCGCGGACGACGCTGCTGCTGCACCGGGCCACTACAAGAAGCTTTCGAACTACCCACTCCAGGACGACTCCCACTACGGCCACCCCGACAACCCCAACTAGCATACCACTCACGAAGCTGCTGGGGCGTGAGGGACACACGCGGACGGCCCTGGAGCTGCATCTGGCCCCGCCAGGAGCAGCAGTAGAAGCAGTAGCAGCAGGAGCAACAGTAGTAGTAGCAGCAGCAGGGGAGTACTCACCAGTGGTGGGAAGGGCAGGCGCACGACGGAGGCGACTGCGGGGCCGCTACAGCGGCAGGGCGGGGCCGCGACCGCGGCACGGAGCTCCGGAGCAGCTGCTGCAGGGCGGGGGGACGACTGCGGCTAGGGGCTTCGCGGCAGTTGCTGTAGGGCGGGACCGGGCCGCGACGTCAGCTGGTGCAGGGTAGGGACAGGGCCGCGACGGCCGCTGCTGCAGGGTGAGGCAGGGGCGGCCGTCTAAAGGGCAGGCGCGGGGAGACTGGAAGCGGCGCGCGGGTAGGCAGAAAGTGGTGCGCGGGTAGACAGAAAGCGGCGCGCTGGTAGACAAAAAGCGGCACACGGGTAGACAGAAAGTGGCGCGCGGGTAGACAGAAAGCGGCGCGCGGGTAGGCAGAAAGTGGCGCGCAGGTAGACGGAAAGCGGCGCGCGGGTAGGCAGAAAGCGGTGCACGGGCTGCAGAAAGCAGCAGTAACAGGGGCAGCAGTGGCTGCAGGTGGGGCAGCGCGGCACATCAGGGCTGCGCGGCTCACGCAGGCAGGGTGAGGCATAGGAGGGGAAGGGAAGGAGCCTAGGGCCTAGGCTTAGGAGCCTAGGGCCTAGGCTTAGGAGCCTAGGCCCAACTAGGATGTCGAGTGGATTGTGCCTAGGGTGAGAGTCGAGAAAGTTGGAAAGGATGGTTTCACTATAGGTTTCAAAGAACATATAGCAAAGGAAACAAATAAGGTGCACCACCAAACAAAGTTTGTAATAACTACACTAACTACAGCTACAGGCAGTTACAAATATAAGTTCTGACACTCCCCAATAACTGCCTGCAGCAGGAGTTTGTGCAGAATACAACCTGCAGGGGTACACATGCAAAATAATAAACAAGCAACAGCAGGTACTACAGGCGGGCTAACACTAGCTGGTCACCCCCTCCATCTCCTCACCCTCCTCCTTCCCCTCCCCCACACTGCTACAGGAGCAGCAGAGAGGGGGGGAAGAGAGGAGAGGTGGAGGGACGGCTGCTGGTTGCCTCACACCCGCCACCCCGGTGCCACTCCCCCGTCTTCCCCACACCCTCACACCCTCCCCCCCAGCGGCAGCTGCAGCAGTGGGAACAAAAGGAGGAGGAGGGGAAGGGAAGGATACAACCCAACGCTCCAACACCCGCCACCCCCATACCCTCCCCCCCACGGCTGCAGGGAGACAAAGGAGGAGGGGGTGGGCGGGAAGAAAGCCGCAGAGCGGATACAATGTGTCGGCGCAGGTAGGTCAGGGGTGGCTGTAGTGAGAGCAGGTGCGGAGAGGCCCGTCGCGTGCCACGGGGCGCACGACGGGTAAGTTTAAGGTAAGGGCACCGTCGTGTGCCTCGGGGCGCACGACAAGCAGGGCACCGTCGCGTGCCACGGGGCGCACGACGGGCAGGTTTAGGGCACCGTCGCGTGCCACGGGGCGCGCGACGGGCAGAGTAGGAGTCACTCGCCAACCGGGGGCGGGACAATAGAAAATCGCCACGCGCCCTAGGCGCGCGACCGGAAAAACGTAGTAGCGGAAGCATGAGGTGGGCCCACAGGCCAGGACGTAACTCGCTCTGATAGCATATCGCAATTAGAACGAGAATGATCAAGTTTAACTAGGGCCTAGGCTTAGGAGCCTAGGCCCAACTAGGATGTCGAGTAGTTTGTGCCTAGGGTGAGAGTCGAGAAAGTTGGAAAGGATGGTTTTGAGGAAATTAGAACGAGAATGAGGTGAACTATGAATGAAGCGAGTACAAATGTGAAACCCTAGTTGGGTTGTACCCCCTATGGGATACCCCACTATAGCCTACACAATAGCATAAGCTATAATGTTCTGACACACCCCCATAGGCAAAGTGGGGGAGAACAAGGGGTCACAAGACCAGTCAAGCAAAGCAAAGCAAAGCTCAGGGTGGATCACAAAGTCACCACACATTCCGAGCACAAGTTCAAAGGCCAAAAGGCCAGTTCACATGCAAGAGCACATATATATATATATACGAGGCTAAGCAAGCAAGAGCAGGAGTATATATATGTGACAGTACAAGCAAGGTCAAGAAGTGAGCAAGTGAGGCAAGACAGGCACAAGACCCAGGTGAGTGCAGAAGCGCTGATGATCACAAGGCGCAAGTGCCTTGGTGAAAACATCAGCAGTGTTGGCCTCAGAGGCCACGTACGCAAGCCGCAACTGTCCACGCTGCTGTAGCTCACGAGCAAGAAAGTAACGGAGAGCAGTGTGCTTTGTCCTGTGCTCCAGTCGCTGCTCTCGACACAAGGCCAGCATGGCCTTGTTGTCTATGTACAGGACTGGAGGAGAACGAGGCGGCTCTCCAAGGTCGGTCAGCAGGAAGTGAGCCAGCGAAGCTCCTCGGCAGCCATAGCCCCGGCGTAGATCTCAGCCTCACAACTGGAGCCGAGAACAGAAGACGAGCGGGTAGCCCGCCACGAAACAGAGCCGGAACCAAGACAGAAGGTGTAACCCTGTGACGACCGCTGCGTAGCCTGGTCGTCAGCCCAAGAAGCGTCCGCGTGCCCAGTGAGGACCACTGGACTCCGCCCTCCAAGCACTAGCCCCATGCCCGACGTACTGCACAAGTAGCGCAACACCCTCTTCGCTGCAGCCATGTGCTCTGGTCGATGTCTCCCAGGAGCAACATAGTGTGCGAGAATGCTAAGAGGGTATGCAAGGTCAGGTCGTGTGCAGGTCATCAGGTACATGAGGCAGCCAACAAGCTCTACATACGGGCCACTCGACTCTACGGACTCATCCGAAGGCAGAGCTGAGAGTGAGTGGCCAGTAGGCAGAGGAGTGGCCTGAGGCAAGGAGTACGTGAAGCCGAAGCGCTGAAGGACCTGCTGCACCATGTGTGAATGAGTCAGGGTAATGGTGCAGCGTGCTCTGTCCCGGGTGATCTGCAAGCCAAGGTAGCTGCGCAGTTCACCCAGGTCTGTGCACGTGTGTCGCTTCTGCAGCTCGGACTTCACGTAGGCGAGTCCAGTAGTGTCAACTGTGACAAAGACCAAGTCGTCGACGTACACGAGGATGTAGAACGGCGGCTGAGAGGTGTCGGTGCGCGGAAACAGCGACGGGTCGGCAGAAGAAGGAGCAAACCCAAGAGCCGCAAGCGTAGTCCTCAGTGTGTCGTGCCACTCACGTGGCGCCTGGCGGAGACCGTAGACTGGACGCCGGAGACTCCACTGGGTACCAGGAGGGAAAGACCCAGTGAAGCCAGGTGGGCGGCGCAGCCAGATCTCCTCGTGCAGGCTGCCCTGCAAGAAAGCCGTGCTGAAGTCGAGAGAGTGGAGCTCGTAGTCACGGTGAGCAGCAATGTGCAGCAGTACCCGAAGAGTGGTCATCTTCGGGGTGGGGGAGAAGGTCTGAAAGTAGTCAACTCCCTGCCGCTGACTGAAGCCACGAGCCACGTAACGCGCCTTGAAGACAGGCGGAGAACCCGGCGGCCGCTTCACCCTGAAGATCCACATGCCACTGACGATGTTCGCCCCAGGAGGGGGGACAGCGTCAACGTAGGTGCCTGTGGACTTCCAGGAAGCCATCTCTGCATCCATAGCTGCCTGCCACTGAGAGGAGTAGGGACCCTCTATCGCCTCCGCGTAAGAGCGCGGAGTCGGGATGTCAAGTGCATCCGGGTCTCCCTCAAGGGTAAGCAGTATGGACACGAGATGAGGTGAAGCAGCTGCCAGACACTGGAACTCCTCCTGCCTGTCCTCAAGGACGTCCGTGCCAAGGGCACACTCACCCCCAACGGACGGAGGACAGACAGACTCAGACTCGGCGACAAGACTAGCAGCGTAGTCTAAGCGACAGCGAGCAGCAAAGTCGACGAGCTCAGTAATGAGAGCAAACGCAGCACTAGACTCGAAAGAAGGGTCAGTGACAACAGTAGCAAGGAGACGCGTGACAGTAGGACTGGCAGCACGAAGAGAGTCCGACTCAGGGTCGGCAAGTGCAGGAAGAGAGGACTAAGGAGGGGAAGGCAAAGGGGCACGCAGAGGAGCAGTAGACGGACGCAGAGACATCCGGTGCGTGCCAGGGACAGGAGGAGGACGCTGGCGCGAACCGCGACCACTAGCGCGAGCAGCTCTAACAGGCGACGTAGGACGAAACGCAGGCTCACGACGCTCAGTAAGACCTCCAGTAGGACCAGCGTAGGGAGAAGGAGCAGGCAGAGGGGAGGCAGGCTGGAGCTGTGACTGTGACGGGACAGGCTGTGGACACTCTAAGGGAGGAGGAGGACCAGTAGAAGGAGGAAGACCAAGAACCTGCTGCAGGAGTGGAACAAAGTACGGTCGAGGCCGCGTGACGACGCCAGAAGCAGAAGGGACAGCACGAGTACCCTCAGCAGGAGCACCCGCTCCAGCAGCACCTCCAGCAGCACCAGGAGCACCCCCAGCAGGACCGCCAGCGGTAGTCTCTGCGCCAACTCCCTCAGCAGCACCAGCTCCAGTCGAACCCGTAGGCCCAGCAGCTCTAGTACTCCCAGTACGAGCACCTCCGGGACCCGCGACCGCAGCACCCTCAGCAGCCGAAGAACCTCCAGCACCAGCAGTACGGCGCCAGTGCCGGGCAAACCACTCGCGCAGCTCCTGTGGAGAGAGTGGCTCCCGGCGAGAAGAAGCACCTGGAGAACCTCCAGGCGGAGCACCTCCACTCTCAGCACCCCCAGGCGTAGCACCTCCAGGCTCAGCACCCCGAGGCGTAGCACCCCCAAGCTCAGCACCCTCAGGCTCAGCACCCCCAGGCGCAGTACCCCCAGGCTCAGCAACCCCAGACGCAGTACCCCCAGGCTCAGCACCCCCAGACTCCGCACCCCCAGGTCCAGCACCCCCAGGCTCAGCACCCCCAGCAGAACCAGAATCACCAGTGACCTCGACAGGCTCGACTGCGTCTACCTGGGACAAACCAGAAGGGGCAGGACCCTGAGGGGGGAGGGAGTCTACCTGGGGGGGACCTGGTACAAGGAAGAGCGGGGGTGGGGGGAGGGACGGAGTGCGGTAGGGGAAGAGGCGGTAGTAGGGGACCGACTCGTCAAACGTGACGTCCTGGGAGGACAGAACATGTCAAGAGGTGGGGTGGTAGAACTCCCACCCAGGCGCGTCAGGGGGGAACCCCAGGAAGACGCAAGGAGCAGCACGAGGGGACAGCTTGTCTGCAGACAAGTCGCGGACAAACGCCCGAGATCCCCAGACCCGGAACGCCGACGCATCGCCAACCTTCCCCGTCCACAGTAAGGCTGGGGAGGTCTCCGGCCTGGAGACCCTGGGGTGGAGGTTGATTTGATGCGCCGCGTACCTGACCGCAAACGGCCACAGAAAATGGGGGGCAGCCGCATGCATCATAGACGTACGAGCGACGTCCATGACCATGCCAATGCGGCGCTCAGCAATCCCATTTTGCTGCGGTGAGTCCGAAAGCGTAAAGGTCTGACGGATGCCTCGTGCGCGACAGTAGGCTCGCAGTAGGCCAGAGGAAAACTCTCCGCCTCTGTCCGAGTGCAGACGCAGAACAGGGAAGTCCGAGCCAAAGCTCCGCCTGAGCTGGAGACGAGCCGCACGGATCCAGTCGATCAGCACCTCAGTGACATCACCCTTGCTGCGCAAGGGGAAGACCGTGGTGTAACACGAGTAGTCGTCAACAACGAGCAGGAAGTAGCGCTCGTGACCCTGTCCACGGACGCGGGCTGGGCCCCACACACCCATGTGAAGCGTCTGAAACGGGGCCTCTGTCGGAGGAAACTGGGAGGAGTGAGGGGCGGCCCGCTGGCGCCCCTCGACACAGGGGACACAGGCAGGGCCAGGGCCGTGAGGAAGGGAAGGGAGGGACCGGGGGAGACCAGACACAAGAAGACGGGAGGCCATGCCTCTGAGCCGAAGCAGAGAGGGGTGACCAAGACGGTGGTGCCAGAGGAGAGTCTCATAAGACAAGAGACGACACGAACAGGGGGCAGACTCAGGACCAGACCTAGACGTTGCAGCAAACACCTGACTGGACGAAGCGACTCTACCAGACTCAGTAACGGGAGGAGACGCAGTGGTCAGTGTGTACAGGCTCGACCCCGGCTGACGGGTAAACGTAGCCAGGTGCCGGCCTGTGCTAGCCTCTGTACAATGCGTCACCCGCTGACGCGCAGGAGTGAACTGGTGTACTCCCCCATCCTGTAGGTCAGCACCACTCACCACGTTCATCGAGAACAAGGGGAGGTAGAGACCAGACAAGGTGCCAGAGGGAGCCGCCGGACACGGGAGGACTGTGGAGAAGCGAAACAGCACAGGACCCCCGGAGGGGTCAGCCAAAGACACCGCAACCGGCCGACTAAGCGGCATGAGTGTGGTGCGGTCCTGAAAGAAGGAGCAAGACGCCCCAGAGTCAAGGGTGAAGGTGAGGGAGGCCGAAGCCGACGTAGTACCTGAGAGCGCAGACTCATCAGTACCTGAGGACGCAGACACACTAGCACCTAGAGCAGCAGCGTCGCAAGCATCTAGGGCAACAGCCTCAATGCCCGGATCGGGCGGGAAACAGCGGTAGCAGTCACCCTCATCACTATGAGACACAGCATACATGACAAAGAGAATAGCATCAAAGTCAAGATCAAAGATGGCAACACCCGCCCTAGACAGCTCCCCCCAGCGAGGAATCTCTGAGTCCTCCGGGAACTGATGACGCCACGCGTCCGTCAGGCGGCCAAAGCAGCGCTGGGTGGGGTGCGGGCCCCCACACTGCTCACCCGCACGGTCGCCGGTGCGCAGGATGTAGGTGCACGAACCAAAACCCCCACCCCGCTGGCGTGCAGTGTACCACTCCCGGAGCTGCTGAGGGGACAGGGTCTCACGACCGCGCTCCTGCTGCTGGCGCGCGCCACTACCGGAGCCACTCCTCTGCGAAGACCCGCGACCAGCTCCACCGCCACCCCCACTGCCTCCGCCGCCTCCGCTACTGCCGCCGCCTCCACCGCCGCCTCCACCGCCGCCTCCTCCGCCACCTCCGCTCCCACCGCCACCGCCGCCGCCGCCTCCGCCTCCACTGCCGCCACCGACCCCCCCACCCCCACCTCCACTCCCACCGCCACCCCCACTACCCCCACCGCCTCCACCTCCACCTCCACCGCCCGCTCCTCCAGCTCCCTTGCCCCCCTTGCCCTTGCCAGGGCGGCGTCTCCTGCTAGGGGCAGACGCCGCTCCGACCGACTCAAGACCAAGGAGGTCGGCCGTAGCAGCAGAGGCAACAGAGGGCAGCAGGGGGGAGGGGGAACACCCCTCAAAGATGGGGGTGCGCGGGTCACCTCGAGAGGCTCCTACAGCGACTATACTCTTCTCCGCTGCTAAGAGGGCCTTCTCGAGGAGGTCGACAGTGAGTGTGGTGGGACAGACTGAGAGAAAGTGGTCCCTGACTACTCGAAGGGAGTCAGGAAGGCGAGTGACTAGGAAGTACAGAGTGATGTACATGGGGGGGGGGGTTCTTGGCGCAGAAGTCAGCAGGGAGTGCAGCGCGGTAGCGAGTGTCACTAGTGCGGAGGTGCGTAATCAGGTCAGCCACGGTGGGAAAGGCAGCAAGGTCAGGGAAGAGGTACGGTAGCATGAGACGACTCAGTGCAGCAGTGGCAGGGGAGGAGTAGCGCGCGACTACAGCGTCGTACAGGGTCTGAGCACTCTTGTACTGACTAAAGTGCGCACGCTTGGAGGTAGGGAGGTGGCGACGCACAGCAAGACGTGCAGCAGCGTCGCGCGTGGCCCACTGGGAGCAAACAGTGGCGTCAGCATCAGCAGCAGGGGCAGGGGAAGCGCCAGAGGTAAGGTCAAAGAGAGAGAGGCCGTCTGCCCTATCGCACTGTAAGAACAGCTGCAGGTCGTCTACCCAGACCTCAAAGTCAATGGCCCGATCCTCAGCGTCAAAGGCTAGGACACTAGGGGTAGCCATGACGACAGACGACTAGCAGTGCAAACAGTGAGGGGGGGGGGGGGGGGGGGGAGGGCCGTGCAGCGGGAGAAGGCGCTGTGCTCACCAGACGGGGCAGCTCTGGCGGTCCGGAAGTAGGGAAGCAGGGCGGCTCGGCTGCAGAGTGGCTCGGCTGCAGGGCGGCTCGGCGGCTCGGCTGCTGGGCGGCTCGGCAGCAGGGCGGCTCCGCGGCTCGGCGGCAGGGCGGCTCGGCGGCTCTGCTGCTCGGCGGCTCGGCGGCAGGGCGGCTCGGCGGCTCGGCGGCAGGGCGGCTCGCCTGCTGGGCGGCAGGGCGGTTCGGCGGCTGGGCGGCTCGGCTGCTCGGCGGCTCTGCTGCTGGGCGGCTCTGGTTCAGGGCGGCGCGGTGGCCGGGCGGCTCGGTGGTTCTGCCGCTGGGCGGCTCGGCGGCGCTGGTTCAGGGTGGCGCGGCGGTCGAAGGTAGGGCAGCGGGTGGGCCGCAAGTAGGGCGCCGGTGGGCCGCAAGTAGGGCGGCGGGTGGGCCGTAAGTAGGGCGGCGGTAGGGCCGCAGGCAGGGAGGCGGTAGGGCCGCAGGTAGGGCGGCGGTAGGGCCGCAGGTAGGGCGGCGGGAAGGCCGCAGGTAAGGGCGGAGGTAGGGCCGCAGGTAGGGCTGCATGTAGGGCCGCAGATAGGGCGGCGGGTAGGGCCGCGGGTAAGGGTGGCACGCGACGCCGCTAGGGAGGAGCCGGGCCGTGCTGCGACGGGCCGGGACAGGCGGCGCGGGGCCCGGAAGGGCGGCGCGAGGCCGGGAAGGGCGGCGCGAGGGCGCCGACGGGCCGGGACGGGCGGTGCGAGGGTGCCGACGGGCCGGGAAGGGCGGCGCGAGGGCGCCGACGGGCCGGGACGGGCGGCGCGAGGGCGCCGACGGGCCGGGAAGGGCGGCGCGAGCCGCAGGGAAGGGGGCGGCGCGAGCCGCAGTAAAGGGCGGCGGGGCGGCAGGTAGGTCGTGGGGAGGCCGCTAGGGCGGCTCAACGACGTAAGAGCCCGGAGCGCGACTCGGGCCGAGCGCGCTTCGGGCAGGAAAAAAAAAATGATCGATGTGGTGGGCCCTGGGCACAGTTCCCACGGGGGAACCTGCTCGATACCATGAGGAAATTAGAACGAGAATGAGGTGAACTATGAATGAAGCGAGTACAAATGTGAAACCCTAGTTGGGTTGTACTATGAGGATCTGGGATCGAGCTCAGAAAAGATGATTCAAATTGAATTGAATGATCACCTGGGTACAACACGAGGCTATATATAGGCTCCACACAAGGCCCCGTAACCAGGTGTTACGCGAAGGTTCCGCGGGTCGCGAAGCGTCCCGAACAGATCCTTACCGAATTCGGTAGAAGGCAATTCGGTGGCAACCGAAAAGCCAGAATTCAATGCACGCAACCTAGCTCGGTGCTATAACTATAATAAAATATAGGAAAGCACCTAGCCTAGGAAATCAAGCAATTCATGCATGCATATGATTATCCTATGCTAGAAATAGCATGATAAAGTAAAGGCAAGCAAGCATAGCTGGCATAAGCCGTCGTACTCTCACACGTCCCCCCCTCAAAGCTGGGTGGCGTGAGATACACCCTGCTTGACAAGATAGTCCTTGAGAGCACGGCGTGCGTTGCCCATATCAGCTTCTGCAACCCAACTATCCTCAGTGGGGTCGTATCCCTTCCAGTGTATTAGGAACTCGAGGGTCTTGCCACCGCGGCGCCGATGGGTGAGAACGCGCTCGATCTCGTACTCGGGTTCATCCTGTATGAGAACAGGTGGTGGTGGCGGTAGTTGCCGTCCCTGGAACTGCTGGTTGGGGTCCTTGTAGGGCTTCAGTAGCTGGACATGGAAAGCGTTGTGAAGCTCCCATGTATCTGGTAAGCGCAAGCGGAATGTAACTGGTGTCACCTGTGCCTCAACGAGAAAAGGATCACAGAAGCGTGGCCAGAGTTTGGATGGGAGGTGAGACAGGTTCAAGTTGCGCGTGTCAAGAAGCACCTGATCTCCGACTGCTACTGAGTGATCACGTCGCTGACGATCGGCATACTGCTTCTGGGAGTTCTGCATTGTGGTGAGACGTCGCTGAGTCTTCTCCCATAGCTGCTGCATGGTGGTGACGAAGTCATGTGCGGCTTGGACGTATGCCGGTGTGGTTGGCTGCTGTGGTGTGAGTGGTTCCCGTCCGTAACACAGGAAGAAATGAGTTTTTCTTGTGGCCGCATGTGATGCGTTGTTGTAAGCGAACTCTAGGGTCGGTAACTGTGTGTCCCAGTGGCTGACGTCGTCCTTGCAAGCTGTGCGCAGTAACTGTTCAACCACTTGATTGAGTCGCTCTGTCTGTCCGTAAGTCTGGGGGTGGTATGCTGAAGACATTGCAAGTTTTGTCCCCAACAGTCCCATGAGCTCCTTCCAGAACTTACTCGTGAATTTGGGGTCTCTGTCTGAGATAAGTGTAGCGGGGATGCCGTGGATGGTGATGATGCGGTCGAAGAAGAGTCGAGCAGTTGCTTCAGCTGTAGCTGTGGCGTTGGTCGGTATGAAGTGACCCATTTTGGAGAACTTATCGATCACCACGAGGATGGAATCATGTCCCCGTGAGGTCGAAGGAAGTCCTGTGATGAAGTCATGCCATGGCTGCTCCGGTACGGGTAGAGGCTGAAGTAACCCTGCTTTTTTCTGCTTGCTGCTCTTCATCCGCTGGCACGTGTCGCAAGAGGTGACGAACTGCTGCACGTCTGCTGCCATCTCGGACCAGTAGTAATACTTCGCTATCCCTGCTAACGTCTTGTTGCTCCCGAAATGTCCCGCGTAAGGTACGCCGTGAAACTCCTCCAATAGGATCTGCCGTAGCGGGGCGTAATTCGGTACCCAAATCTTTCCTGAACCCTTCCTTACAGCTAAGTCCTTCTTCCACTGTAATAGCTTCTTACTGAGGTAGGCGATGGGCTGCAAACTGTGTTCGTGATGCTGCATCAGTACTGCTCCGACTGCTTGGTCACTAGCGTCTGCTTCCACCACGTAGTCTTTGTCTGGATCCGGTAGGATGAGTACTGGCGCTGTAGTCAGTGCTGTCTGTTTGTTCAGTGCGCGGTAGTCGATGCACATCCGTAAACTACCGCGTGGCTTTAGAGTGAAGAGAACTGGTGCACCGTAGGGAGAGGTGGATGGGCGGATCAGTTGTCTGTCTAGTAGATACTCTATCTGTTTTTCATGTCTGTCAGTTCAGTTGGACTCAGTCGGTATGGTGCACGTGAGACGGGTTTCGCACCTGGTTCCTCCACGATCTAGTGCTCGTGGGTGCGTGCTGGAGATACGCCTGTGGGTAGGTCGTCGGGCATTATATCCTTGTACTGCTCCAAGACCTCCTCCTCTGCTGCTGCTATAACCAGTGCTAAGTAACCCGTGTTACTCTCGTTCACTGTCCGTTCGAACCGTGCCAGTGTCGTTTCAGGAACGCTCCCTGTATCCGTCAAGCTTCGCAGCTCCACTCGTTTCCCGTTGTTGTAGATGCACATTTTCCGGTTGACCCAATCGATCTTGGGGTTGAACCGCTTCAGAAAATCTTGCCCCAAGATGAAATCTAATCCCTTGATGTTCGTGATCGGCAACGTCGGCTTCCACCTCAACGCCCCTATCTGCAGCTGCAGTGTTGACTTTCCGTGGATGGGAAGCTTCGTACCGTCCACCATCGTTGCTGTATACTGGGTTTCTTCTTAGGATTCTCCAATTTTCTCTAACGTCCCGCGGTCGCACACTGAGTGGGACGCACCACTGTCCACCAGGGCCTGGAGGCGACGCCCGTTGCAGATCACCTCGAGTACTAGTGGTTGCTGCTGCTCCGAGTATCCGTAGATGGTATCGCTTATAGGATCGTAGGGTACGTCGAATATGTTATCCCTAGGTCCTGCGCTCAAAGATGCAGCTTTAGTGTCAGTTTTCAACTGAGAAAGGTTAGAAGGATTTATCCGAGGCCGATTCGGCTTCTCTTGGGCCTGGAACCTTCCACTAAGCCTTTGCAGCTGTGTAGGCTTCATCTGTGGGGAACAGGGAGCCTTTAAACAGTGTTGCTGGGAGAGAATATTAACTCCTCGGAACGCTCGACCCGTATTAGCGCTCTGGAGTAGGGTCCCCATAATACCTGGTACTGGTTTAATTTTTGACTCTCCCTTAATAAAGGCTTGAAACCCACGAGAAGTAATATTCTTACTTGTCGGGGTATACGGCTGGAGTTTCCCGGTCGGTGCAGGGTCTTGTTTCGCGGATCCTCCATTAGTCTCGGCGATTTCCCCTGGTGCCGGCTGGTCGTGACGTTTTAAATTTGCGCCACCATATTCTCCTTTTTTTGCCCTCTCCGAAGTTGCCACGTTGTCCGTTTTCTGCTTCGGGGGTGCCGCACTGTTCTTGTCCTTCAGCTCCGCACACCTTCTCTTCATTTTCCAACACGCCAAGATACGATGTCCTGTAGCGCCGCAAAATTTGCACGTCTCATTATTTGCTAGCCGCTGCTCCACATCGCCCTCGTCGTTTTCCATTGGGTCGGCAGTCGTGGTTGGTGCCAATCGCCCCATGCCACTAGTTGGCTTGTTGCTTCGTGTTCCGTAGTAGCTACTGTTCAACGTGTCGAACTGTTCGATCAGTGCTGCCGGAACCTGCGCCCACGTCCCCTCGCCTTGGACTATTCTGTTGTTGATCCACTCTAGAGCTGGGCCTCGTAAGAGTGTTGCTGCGAGCCGTATGCGCATTGCGTCTTTTGTCGGGGTCGTGCATCTAACGGCTTCGAAGTAAATTTCGAGTTCAGCTACGAATCGACGAACATCGTTCCTTTTTACTGTAGGATCGAACGCCTCCGGTAGCCTCAGCTTCACTACTTCGAGGTTAACTGTAGCTGCCGCCGTTGTTGCATGTAGAATTGTCGGTGTAGCCGCTGCTGCTGCTGCTACTGTTGTCGCTGCTGCTGTGGCGGTTGCCGACTGGTTCGCAAG